ATAAGACAGGTAGTTTGTTGAAGATTAATCAAATTATACACAAAAACTTATGTTTTTACGCTACACTTTTACGTTTTATGTTTTTACTCATGTTTCCTGCGTAGAAATGCGCATACTAAAGACAAGTTGCAAAAATGGGATAAGATTGTCAATGGTATATGTATTGCTCTGTCATTCTGAATTGGAGTAGAGAGCAACTCTTGCTCCGCCTCTCAACAAATTCTAGCAAGACTGAACTTCAAGACTATCTTTACTCAACACTCTTGGGCGGGTATAATTGCTGCAGGAAAACAGCCGAGGGCATACTGGCTAGTCTCATATGGTGCCTTTGTAGTGCAGCTTTGTGGAAGGAACGATGTCGGCGAGAACATGGGGAACAAGGCAGACCTGTGGAAGGCACTCTTAGACAAATTCTCCTTAATTTGCATTTAATTAGTCGCAGTAATGATGCTAGATTAGCAGATTTGAGGGAAGTGGGGGATTGTGGATGTATAGTGACCACCACTGATAGATGTCTAGTAGCAGATAGTAACTTGTTCTTTCTCTCAGCTTTCCCTGTTGTTGTATCGGTTTCATTTGCATCAGTTACTTTACTTCTCATTGACGCAAATTCTTAAATAAAATTCCCAACTTATTGACGCCACGTAGACAGCAGTGTCCAGTAGTCAAACAGCACAACCAGCCAGCTCACTTTCACTTTTATCTCTTTCTCTTTCTCTGCTCCCACTCCCACTTCCCTTTCTCCACCAAATCCCCCACTCTACTCCCCTCCTTCGTCGCCATCTTCGCTCCCATCCTCCGCCATTCCCAATTCCTCAATCACCGCCGCTGCTTTCTTCTTCCTTCATTCCCCCCTCTTAACCCCCTTCCAAAGAAAACCCTCCCGGTCAAAACCTTCACAATGCCATCGTCAAAGTCCTCTTTTCACCTTTACCAAAGCTAATCGGATCCCTATCACTAGGGGTGAACAAATATACCCGCAAACTGACCAACCCGTCCAAACCGACCCAACCCACCCGTATTTATCGCTAAAACAAAGATTTTGGGTTGGGTGAGGGTTTTGTTTTGTACAACTCGCCTCTTTTGGGTTGGGTTTGGATTTTGGATTACACAACCCGTAGAACCCGACCCAACCCGTGTTCCAACTATTAGTATGAGTTCGTATCTAAAAAATATTTATGTCGTATATAGCCATACTACTTATGAGAAATTTAAGATATTTCGCCATGTTTTTCTCTCATGGTCTCCCTAATCTAATGCATTATTCGACTTAAAGTTTAGACATAAATTGAATATAGTTATGATCGTTTTTCTTGTGTACAATTTTAATAGAATAACATATTGTGGGTGTGTTTGTTTATAACCTTTTTAGCCTATTTCAACAAATATCGTGAAAAAAACTAGACATATTTTGAAGTAAATCACATTTTATTAAAATTCAAACAACATTTGTGAATTTTGATACCTTTCACCACGGTTTATTCGTTTGAAATTTTAATTAGTTATAAAATATTTTTATGATGTAGAATAATTATATATTTTATGTTGGGTTGGGTTTTTACTTAAAAATATCGCCAACCCGACCCAACCCAACCCAATTAGAAACAAACCGTAGGGTTTAAATTTTTTTGGGTGGGTTTGGGTTTGATATTTTCCAAACCGTAGTGCATGGGTTGGGTTATTAAAATGGCTAAACCCGGACCACCCGACCCATGTACACCCCTACCTATCACACCGCCGTCGCAATGGGCGGCTGCACCTCAAAGCCTTCCAAGTCCAATCCCTACGCTCCCAAGAACAACCACCAATTCCCAACTCAAGATGACCAACAGCCACAAGCTACCTCTCCGCTTCCAAATGCGTCTCCCTTCTTCCCTTCCTACACACCCAACCCTTCCCGCCCCGCATCCACGCCGACACCGATGCAGATCTTCAAGAAAAAGCCCTTCCCGCCGCTTTCTCCGGCCAAACACATCTGCGCCGTGCTCCGGTTACGGAAGGACAAGAAGAAAGTGAAGGGAGACGGCGGCGGCGGCGGGGAAGATAACGAGAGCGAGGAGGTGGAAGGGGCGGAGCTGGACAAGCAATTTGGGTTCTCGAAAGAGCTCGCGAGCAGGTTAGAGGTCGGGGAAGAAGTGGGCCGAGGGCATTTTGGGTATACTTGTTCCGCTAAGATCAGGCTGGGTGATCGGAAAGGGCAGCAGGTCGCCGTTAAAGTCATTCCCAAATCCAAGGTTTCCTTTCGACAAATTTTTTATTTTTATTTTTATTCAGCGTGTGCAAATTATTGCTTGCCGTTTGGTTTCCGCAGTCGCAGCTTTTCTAGTGCCTTGTGTCATTTTGTCATTAATTTGGGTTTTTGTTGTTTTCTTCTATGTTTGTTTGGATTTCCTTACTATTTTGTGCTTATCTGCACAAAAGCTGTAGACTTCTGGCTGTGAATTGATACTGGAATTTGTGTTTGTTTGTTGGCACAGTAGCTATAAGGAATAAACAGTGTCTTAGTAGTAAGTGTTGTACGTACTATTGTTTATTTATGACAATTGCTATCAAATTTGACATGAATCAATAGTACCGAATTCCATTTCTTAGTAGCATTTGCTCATAATGGATCGTCATGACCCTATTAATTCATTTGTTATGTTGTTAGATGACTACATCTATTGCAGTTGAAGATGTTAGGAGGGAGGTGAAAATATTGAAGGCCTTGGCAGGGCATAACAACTTAGTACAGTTCTATGATGCCTTTGAATATACTGATAATGTCTACATAGTAATGGAGTAAGCATGGCCAGAGCCAGCTAATTATATAAATATAGGTTCTTTTGTGTGTGCATATGTTTTAGGTCCTTCATTGCTCTTCAGAATCATTCTCTTTCAGCTTAGATTTTTGAATGGCTTGGTTATCACCTTTGTGAAATCCTGTGACCTTCTGGAAGCTGATAAGTTGCTACTAACATTTCAGGTTGTACGTAGGAGGCGAGCTCTTGGATAGAATACTTGCAAGGTTTTATTTCTCTCCTTTCTCTAGTTACACTCCATATTTTAGGATGAACCTTTGCCAGATTAGCTATTCTAGGTTTAGTCTTTCTTTTTCTATAAGGGGAGCTCAGGCAGGGTACTTGTTGTTCTTCAGAGGTGGAAAATACCCAGAAGATGATGCAAAGGCAGTCATGGTGCAGATATTGAATGTTGTATCTTTCTGTCATCTACAAGGTATGGTGCACCGTGATCTTAAACCAGAGGTGGAATGCGATTCTTTTTCTTATTTTCTTTTGGTTAAATACACTTGTATATCCAAAACTTTCACGGTTATGTCAATAATATCCAAATTTCCTAAAATACCACTTATATCCAATTCCTTCACATTCTTTAAAGGTGTTTTTGGATATACAAGTGTATTTAACCAAAAATATATTGGGAAATGGATTGATTTGGCAAAGAACGATTTTAAAACATGGATATAAGTGGTATTTCGGGAAATTTGGATATTATTGGCACAACCGTGAAAGTTTTGGATATACAAGTGTATTAAACCTTTTCTTTTCTATTCAAAGACAGTCACAATACATGCACTACACTTTGGGATAGTTGGAAAAGCGAGAAATGAATCTTTATAGCAATGAGGGGTTTCTCATACCGATACCGACCCAGTGGCGGATCTAGAAATTTTACATAGGGATGTCCTTTTTCAAAAAATAAAGTAAAATAAAAAATAAAAAATAAAAATTAATAAAAATTATATTATTCCTAGATAAGAAACTACCCAACTCGTACAAGTTAAAAAAAGTCAATGATGTATTTTCATATTATAAAAAATTTATAAAATACACTTGATGTCTACATTGCTTAACAAATTTGTCTCGGTATATCCTAATAGACAATCTTTTGCGAACTGTCGCATATTTGACTTCTAAATTTGTTCATGGTGTAACTCAAAGCTGAAAAAACACTTTCAACACTTGTCGTACAACCATAAAATCAATACAAATTAAGGGTAGCTTGTAAGTAGATTAATTTTTAGGTTTTGAAAATAATTAAAGATAGAGTATGGGGTTTTGCTATTACACAGTGTTTAGAATATAACAACAAAAAAGTTGTATCCTAATGAAAATTATATTTATTAGTAATAGTAGTGTCCCAGGTTTGAATTACCCAAACTACCACTTATTTTCTCATACGCAAACTACAAACGGGAGTAGTATAATCGTTCTTTTAAATTTTAGGGTATCCCAGACTATTAGTTATAATTTTTTTTATCTATACGTAAATTACCCCCGGGAGTTGGATAATCGATCTTCCAACCCCTAAATACCCATAGGTCCGCCCTTGTACCGACCTAATCATTATCTTTACGATTCGTCTACATAACTTTATATATACTTCAAAGGACGAGACATCTGAGCTGAAAGTGATCGATTTTGGTTTATCAGATTACGTCAGACCAGGTTTGCCCTGTTTTGCTCTAATACCTATTGTGAAGCCATCCCATCAACTTCTTTTTACTTGACCTTCATGATCTGTTTTCCTTTTTCATATGAAAAACTCAATGATATTGTAGGAAGTGCCTACTATGTTGCACCAGAGGTTCTACATAGGTCTTATAGCACTGAGGCTGATGTGTGGAGTATAGGAGTAATAGCTTATATTTTACTGTGTGGAAGTCATCCATTTTGGACCCGAACGGAGTCTGGAATATTCAGATCTGTCCTGAAAGCTGACCCGAATTTTGATGAAGCATCTTGGGCCACCATATCTCCAGAAGCAAAAGACTTTGTCAAGCGCTTTTTGAACAAAGATCCTAGGAGGCGAATGACTGCCACTCAAGCATAAAGTATGTCCACTTTTCTCCCTCATTTTGTTGGGGTTTCCAGTCACCAACTCACCATGGTGCTTATTGTGAATCGCATTCACGATCTTCTTTTCCCTCTACAGGTCATCCTTGGCTCAGAAATTACAATGATGTGAAATTACTCCTTGATATCCCAGTACTGAAGCTAATGAGGGCTTATGTTCGATCATCTTCTTTGCGTAAGGCTGCTTTAAGGGTGTATATACATGCACCTTCCTAATCCTAGCAAGTGTAGAACTTACATAAAAATAATTAATAAATTCATTGGAGATTGTTGAAAGTTATTTATGTGGATGAGATTTGCAGTTTTGCTTGTTTGTCCTTTGATCGTCCTCATAAGTTCTTGCTTTGAACTTAGTATCAGGGGAAAACAAGGGATTTTCACCCAAATTGAATTCTGCAATGGTCGACAGCACAGAAGCAGGGGAGAAGAAGATGATTCCAAACGACACCGGGTTGATTAAAACGGAAGTGAAGAAGAGGTCTTGGAGTGATGTCGTTTCTGGCAAAGTGCCAAGTAGTACCTGAACTTATCATTTGTAACTTTTACCCTTTTCGGGCTGTCCTTTCTTTTCTTGCAAGATTTGTCTTCTTTCTTGAAATGTAAGCAACACATGAGAAGTTTGTACTATTCTATCCAGCTATATAAGCTGTGATTTCTAATGAGAAAGTAAGAAGACTTAGGGTTTCTCCTCACAAAACTGTTAACATGGTATCAGAGCCTCCATAAACCCTAGCCGCCGCCCCAATGGCTGCCAATACCCAGCCCAACGATCCACTCAACAACGCTGCAAATGAAGCTGCAAATGCTGCTGCTGTCAATCTTCCTGCTGATCCCATGGCAGACCCCTACTATCTACATGGCTCTGAACAACCAGGGTTGTTGTTAGTGGGTGAGAAACTTACCCCACCAACTACAACGATTGGAGTTAGGCCATGTTGAATGCTTTGGGAGCCAAGAACAAGCTTGGCTTCATCAATGGTTCCATTCCTCATCTAGGCGCAGATCATCCAAATGCTTGGGCTTGGAACAGGAACAATGTCATGATTCTCTCATGGATCCAGCGGGCTGTTGAAGAAACCATCAGGAAGCAACAATGCTCAGATCAGAAGGTCGTGCCCTTATTGCACTCACTGCAAGTTCTTAGGCCACACAGAAGAGACTTGCTACCGTAAGCATGGTTGGCCCCCAGGGATGAATACCAGATCTCCCAATCCATCTGGCAAACCACTTGAGTGTACCTTCTGCAAGAAACAAGGTCATACAGAGGACAAATGTTTCAGCAAAAATGGTTATCCAAACCCAAGAGGACCCCCACGCAAAAAGCCTCAAGTGAACACAGCCAGTTCAGAAGATCTCCACCAAGAGGTGAAGCTTACCGAGGCAGATTACTTGAAACTGATGTCCCTGATGAATGACAAAGGTAATCCAAGGCCTTCCACCAGTGGAAATTCCCCCTTTATTGCTGCTACTTTCACCACCAAACCAGCAAACTCCCTAGGTAAATTTCTACTTAATGTGAGTGACAAAACACCACACCATCAAACCTGGATTCTTGACACTGAAGCTTCTGACCACATAGTTTGTTCACTTAGCTATTTGACAAACTACAGAAGCACAAACAACATCTTCATTACCCTGCCAATAGGAGATAAAGTTCAAGCAACACACATAGGCACTGTTACTTGTGTTGCTGGGCTCATATTACATGAAGCCTTATTTGTTCCTCAATTCAGCTTCAATCTGATCTCTGTCAGTCAACTGACCAAAGACAAATCTCTTTGCCTTACCTTCTTTTCCAATGTCTGCTTGATCCAAGATATGCAACTAAGGAGGATGACTGGTTCTGCTAAGCTCTCCTCTGGCCATTACCACCTTGAGACCCCTGTAGATACCAATTCACCAAAACTCATCTCTGCTGCCAGCACACAAGCCTTTGATCTCTGGCACCATAGATTAGGCCATGTATCTCATTCAAAAGTGCCCCTTTTGCAAACATTTTGTCCACAGATACATACAAACAGCTCTATAGCCTGTGATGTCTGTCATTTTGCTAGGCAGAAGAGACTTCCATTTCCTTCCAGTACTTCTGTAACCAAACAAGTTTTTGATTTGCTACATGTTGACATATGGGGACCAAATCCTATCCCCAGTTATGATGGTTTCAAGTATTTTCTCACAATTGTTGATGATTACAGTAGGATGACTTGGTTAATCCTTTTACAAACCAAAATAAGAAGCTAGACCAAAACTTCAAGCTTTCTGTTTCTATGCAGAAAGACAGTTCCAAACCAAAGTCAAAAGAATTAGGAGTGATAAGGGTAAAGAATTCATCATGACTGATTTCTTTAACCAAACTGGGATCCTCCATGAGTTGAGTTGTGTTGAGACTCCTCAACAAAATAGCAAAGTAGAGAGGAAGCATCAGCATATTCTAGCTGTTGCCAGAGCTCTCAAATTTCAGGCCAATCTCCCTCCTACTTTTTGGAGAGATTGTGTCAAACATTCAGTCTACTTAATCAACAGGGTTCCCACTCTTGTTCTTGGGAATCAAACACCATATCAAAAACTCCACAATGAACCACCCAGACCTGTCTGATCTAGAGGGAAGTTTGAACCTAGAGCCAGGAAAGGAGTATTCATTGGTTTTCAAACTGGAATGAAGGGCTACAAAATTTCTGACCTTCTAACTCATGATGTTTTTGTATCCAGAGATGTTCAGTTTCATGAACACATATTCCCTTTTCACAATTCTACACAAAACCAAAACCCAGCCTACTCAACTCCCTCTGATCCAGCCTTATTTGATGACTCAAGTCCATCTTACTCTCCTTTTCCAACTCCAACTGATCCTTCCCTCTACTTTAGATCACCACTTTGAAACAGACACAGAAGATGACTCCAATCAGGAGTCCTCTTCTCCTCCACCAACACCACCACCTTCCCCAACATCACAACCAGACCCTATCCCTATCCGCAAATCCACTAGGACCATCAAAAGACCATCCCACCTACAACAGTACCATTGTAACCTGCTTCAGCAACATTCTTCAACCAGTCATCCCAATCAGTTACCCTCTCTAGGTATGAAGCATTCTCTATCATCTGTCATTGACTATTCTACATTATCTCCTAATCACAAACATTTTGTTCTGAGCATCTCATCACTCAAAGAGCCAGAAGCATACAAGGAAGCCATTTTGTATCCAGAATGGAATGAGTAATGGCCACTGAAACAAAGGCTTTGGAAGCCAACCAAACATGGGATGTGGTTGAACTCCCACCAGGGAAGAAAGTAGTGGGAAACAAGTGGGTCTATAAAAACAAGCATTTGGCAGATGGTAGTTTGGAAAGACAGAAGGCAAGACTTGTAGCCAAAGGCTACAGTCAACAGGAAGGAGTGGATTATCAAGACACTTTTTCTCCTGTTGTGAAAATGACCACTATCAGACTGTTCCTAGCTATTGCTGTATCTCAGAATTGGCATATCCAACAATTGGATGTCAATAACGCCTTTCTACATGGCGATCTGGATCAGGAGGTTTACATGAAACTCCCACCTGGTTACACCCCCCCTCCAGGTTTCAAAAATCCAATCCGCCGCCTCAAGAAATCCATCTATGGTCTCAAACAAGCATCAAGGCAGTGGTTCACCAAACTGGCAACCAAACTACAGTCACATGGCTACTCTCCCAGCAAAGTGGATCACTCCCTATTCTACAAATCAACAGGTTCCTCCTACACCTGTATTTTGGTCTATGTAGATGATTTGGTTATTGGGTGAAATTTAAAACCTCAAGACATTTCTCCACCAATCATTCAGCATCAAAGACATGGGCAACTTGAAATTTTTCCTTGGTATTGAAGTTGCCAGAAGCAAAAAAAGGGATTCACATTTCTCAAAGTAAGTATACATTGGAGATTCTTGAAGAATCAGACCTTCTAAACTCAAAACCATGCACTACTCCTATGGATTACAAGCATAATTTATCAGCTGAACATTATGATCCATTTTCCAATCCAGAAACATACAGGAGCCTAGTGGGCAAACTCATCTATCTCACTACACAAGGCCAGACATCAGCTATGCAACCCAGCAGTTCAGCCAGTACATGTCCAACCCCAGCAATGATCATTACAAAGCAGTTCTCAGGATCTTACGTTACCTCAAGTCTGCACCCTCATCTGGGCTTTTCTTCCCAGCTTCTTCTACTCTCCATTTGAAGGCCTTTAGCGACTCCTACTGGGCTGCTTGCGTGGACACACGAAGATCTGCCAGTGGCTACTGTGTGTATCTTGGTGATTCCTTGATTTCCTGGAAAAGCAAGAAGCAAACCACCATTTCAAGGATCTTCCTGTGAGGCTGAATACAGAGCTCTAGCATACACCACTTGTGAGGTCCAATGATTACTATACCTCCTCAATGAATTTCAAATTCCTCATCCTCAGCCTGCCACACTCTACTGCGACAATCAATCAGCGATCTATATCGCTGAAAACCCCATCTTTCACGAACGAACGAAGCACATCGAACTCGATTGCCACTTCGTTCGTGAGAAGATTCTGGATAAAACAGTGAAGGTCCTCCATGTCTCTTCAGTTCACCAACTAGCAAATCTCTTCACCAAGCCCCTTCCTCCTGCGCCCTTCTCATTACTCCTCTCCAAGCTTGGTGTCCTCAACATTTGCCCACCAGCTTGCCGGGGGGGGGGGGGAACCGGGGAAAACGAGGGATTTTCACCCAAATTAAATTCTGCAACGGTCGACATCACAGAAGCAGGGGAGAAGAAGATGATTCCAAACGACACCGGGTTGATTAAAACGGAAGTGAAGAAGAGGTCTTGGAGTGATGTCGTTTCTGACAAAGTGCCAAGTAGTACCTGAACTTATCATTTGTAACTTTTATCCTTTTCGGACTGTCCTTTCTTTTCTTGCAAGATTTGTCTTCTTTCTTGAAATGTAAACAACACAAGAGAAGTTTTTACTGTTCTATCCAGCTATATAAGCTGTGATTTCTAATAAGAAAGTAAGAGAAGACTTAGGGTTTCTCCTCACAAAACTGTTAACACTTAGCAGGCATTGGCCAAGACATTGACTGCAGATGAAGTCTTTTATCTGAAGGAGCAATTCACAATATTGCAGCCAAACAAAAATGGCAGCATAACATTGGAGCACATTAGGATGGTTAATATAATCTTTCTTCCTTTGTACCTCACTATGAGATGACATAGCCATGGCCCATGGCCTGTCACCTCGATTTGACTTTCTTACATCGCAGGCATTGATGAAAAATGCAACTGATGCAATGAGAGATTCTCGCGTGCCTGATATTCTAGCCTCGGTAGTTGATCTCACCTGCTTGTTACACTATATACAACTGTTGGAATTTTTATAGCATAGGATATTTGTCTTAATATTGATCTGCTGATTGCTCGAAGTTTAGCATTTCATGACAGCTGAATACACTTCAACACAGGAAGATGGAGTTTGAAGAGTTTTGTGCAGCTGTGTTGAGTGTTCACCAATTGGAGGCACTTGATAGATGGGAACAGCATGCTCGATCTGCATACGAAATTTTTGACCAAGATGGAAATAGGGCTATTGTTATTCAGGAACTTGCCTCGGTACGTATGTCGTAGCTAGTACTCAACCTTCTTCGATGAACGAATCTTTGGTTTGCCTGGCTAGTGAACTACATATACTAACTGACAAATTGGTTGGGTTCAGGAGCTTGGCCTTGGACCATCCATCCCAGTTCATGCCGTTCTAAATGACTGGATAAGACATGGTGATGGTACACTTAGCTTCCGTGGGTTCATCAAGTTGTTGCATGGTATGTCTAGCCGGGGCATGGCGAAGGCTCCATGAAAACACCTCTGTCTAGATGGTTACACATTCGAATGGGGTAAAGTTCCATGAGGACGTTGAAGTGCTTGTTTTCCCCATTCATTGAACCACCAAATGTGAAAGTTCACTAGCGACCACCCCCATGGCCGCCTGGTCGTGAAGGATTTCCACCTTTATTCATTTTGGATTGTCGGAGATCATTTTCATCACGATGCAGCAACTTCTTCTCGGTGGCTTGTTCATCCTTCATGTCTGCAGCAAAAGTGCAGTGCGAAGATATAGACAAAGTTTTCCTTGCGCAAAATACAGAAAGATGCACGAGCCGCTCGTATAGATATATGATAACCAAAGCACAAGGGATTTCATTATAGATAATCGAGGTGAATCAGTTGATTGGGTGGGGTGTTTACATAAATAGCTTAGCTTATGATTCCGTACATATAAATTATAATAACATAACCATGGACAGCGGACGGGAAGCTTCTTCTTAGTGCTTTGGCTACGTTTACTGCAGTTTCTTAATTTGGCCATCTATACTAATACTACACGTTTGGTGGGCTTAAGGGTTATGCACCCATCAATAACCAAATCTGGACCCTTCATTTAGAAAATTCAGATCTAAGGATGGAGAATTAAAACTATTTTTATTTTCACTAGCTTTCTTAATTGACTCATATCTTTTTCGTTTTAACTCGGATTTTAATTTTTTTTGCACAGATGGAACGAGTTCATCGTGCTCTACAAAATGAGATCAATTTTCAATATTTTTTGAGGGAAATTTGTTTTTGGCCTCTCGGTACCAACTGCATACCATATGGTATCTTCTTCGTTTTTCATTCGTTTTTGAAAACGTTTGCACAGCAGGGACGAGTTCATCATGATCTATTGGATCTACAAATTTATGGGTGAACAAATTACAAGACCAAAAAATACCACCAAATACCATACAATACCACCCTGGTACGGGGTGGTATTTTATGGTATCTTATGGTATACAATGTTAAAAGTCGTAAATGACAATTAATATACTTCTACTATCATGTATTCAATCATCCTACAGTCTTGGTTTGTTCATACCACCATGGTACGCTTTTCAAACCATAGGTATGCTCTTATTTCAATACCAGTCAATACCATATGGTATAGACTGGTAAAAAATGGCTCAATTTTTTTGTTCGAAAAATATATCAAAGTGGATATCATTTTGAAGAGCACAATTAATCTGATCTAACTGTGCAAAAAAAATTAAATTTCGACTTAAAAAGAGTGAGAAATCGTCCGTCAAAGATTAAGGAGGGGAAAATTAAAGGCTTTCCAGGAGAGAGAGGATGCTGATGTCATGCTGATGTGGGCGGGTTACCATAGTTACTCACCATAAGGTTACTGACCTGATCCATTCCCGTTTGGTGGATGGTTGTGTAGAGTGAAATGAAATGTTTTTAAAATTGTAATTAGGCTACAATTAATGGCGGGTTAATTGCATGGTTGGTCACTGAAATTACAAAAAACGTTCAAGTTTGGTCACTCGAAATATTTAAATCCATTGGTGGTACTTTAGTTTACTGAAACCGTTCATGTTTGGTCACTCTCCGTCCAACTCCGTTAACTTTTGCTGATGTGGCAGTCAACTCTAAAAGTTGACCGTTAACTTAGTGACGTGGCAACTAAAAAATTATTAAAAATAAAAAAATAAAAATTTATATTTTCCACCTCATTATTACATTCATTAAAAAATAAAAAATCTAATTTCTTTATTTTAGAAAATGAGACTTGCTTCCCTGCTCTTCTTCATCGGCTGCGCCCCGCCACCTCCACCACTGCCGCTGCCGATTCCGATTGGCAGAACTTCAAGGACAGGCGCCGGCCAAAACCCTGATCAAACACCACAAACCCTTTCCAGATTTAGCACCGACGGCGGTGGATTTATCATCTGGCAGCATCGAAGACGACGTCGATGATGTCGAAACATCAAAATCAAGGCTGATGGAGCTCCGGCGGCTCTGCCGTCGCTTTTTGATCCTGCCCCTTCTCCTGCCTTTAGATCTTTCACTTTTTGCACAACCCAAAAGAAAAGTTCAAATCTTTATCCCTCCCTTTCCCTTACTGTGTCATGATGATGATAAAAAGCTTCAAGTTGCAGCAGCAGCAACAAGATCAAGAAAACATGTCCAACCTCACAACTTCAGCTTCAGGAGAAGCAAGTGTCTCCTCCGGAGGAAGAGTGGATCAAAACAATCACCACCCACCTCCAGAAATCCCACCATCCAATCAGCCACCTCCCAAGAAGAAGAGAAACATGCCAGGCAACCCAGGTAACAAAATAAAAAAATTTACCAGTAATTAATTTCCACTTTTGTTTTTGCTTATGGGGTCAAATCTTGAGGTCAATTTTTGTTTTTTGGGGTTTTGTGACCAGACCCAGATTCCGAAGTGATATCTCTGTCCCCCAAGACCTTGATGGCAACGAACCGGTTCCTATGTGAGATCTGCAACAAAGGGTTTCAGAGGGACCAGAATTTGCAGCTCCACAGGCGAGGCCAAGTTCCCGACGAGGAGTATGGATCTCAAAGATACAAAGCGACGGCAGAGCCGCCGAAGCTCCATCAGCCTTGATTTTGATGTTTCGACATCATCGACGTCGTCTTCGATGTTGCCGGATGATAAATCCACTGCCGTCGGTGCTAAATCTGGAAAGGGATTGTGGTGTTTGATCAGGGTTTTGGCCGGCGCCTGTCCTTGAAGTTCTGCCAATCGGAATCGGCAGCGGCGGTGGTGGAGGTGGCGGGGCGCAGCCGATGAAGAAGAGCAGGGAAGCAAGTCTAATTTTCTAAAATAAAAGAAATTAGGATTTTTATTTTTTACTTTTTAATGAATGTAATAATGAGGTGAAAAATATAAAATTTTATTTTTTTATTTTTAATAATTTTTTAGTTGCCACGTCACTAAGTTAACAGTCAATTTTTAGAGTTGACTGCCACATCAGCAAAAGTTAACGGAGTTGGACGGAGAGTGACCAAACATGAACGATTACAGTAAACTGAAGTACCACCAATGGATTTAAATATTTCGAGTGACCAAACTTGAACGTTTTTTGTAATTTCAGTGACCAACCATGCAATAAACCCATTAATGGCCGATGGATTGTTATATTGGTATTTGATCCACAGAACAAAGCGGACCAGGTGAGTTCAAGTTACACGTCATATACAGTTCAACACAGGGACGCGAGTTCATATTTTTTTTTTATAACTCAGCAACATCTCCATGCACATATCGTTTGAGTAATGGCGGAGCGAGACCAAACTTGGGGTTTACCTATTTGAATCCTTTGAACCTTCCACTGAAATTATCTTTTAATGCCTCAGAGAATATCACAACTGGCCTCGAGATGGATTGAACACGCGACCTCACACTTCAGTTCATACTTCATAACAAGAGAGAAGAAGCGCATATATATCCGGCCACCAGTTCATTTATTTATTGAGTTAAGGGTATATTTAAGAACCTAACTGGACTAGTGGCTGGACCAGTAGAACCACCAAATCAGGTACAATATCGGTTGGTTCTTCTGCTTGCACGGTTTGTGATGGACCGAACAATTTTTTTATGGTTAGATATGAAACCAGATGAACCAATTCGGCTTTACTGATCCACTGGTTCACTAGTTTAACTACCAAAAAATTAAGAGAAAAAAACGTTAACTTTAACTAAGACCATCCAACCTGAATAACCAATTTATTTCTAATTCTTTTTGTTCGTTTCTCAACCTCCTTATTGGCTTTGTGTGGTCCACTATAGATTGCTAGTCTATTTACTAACTTGAATTTAATAAAGAAAGTATGATTTATTTTGTGATATAGTTTGAATGATTTGTTATAACATTTGGTGATAGACGGTATGAATTTGAATGGTTCATGGTTAGACAGATAAATTCAGTCATAATGTAGTATATATATGGTTAAGGCTAGCCGTACGCTTACCTTACCGTATGTCTGTCAAGTTTCGTTATCTAGACCATGAATTAACCGGAGTTTGGGGCATAATACTATACCTTAACCTCTAATAGGTGAACCCTAGTCCTCAATTTTGTAACCCAAACCATAAGATTCATTTAATCTTAAAATAAAAATTAACGGTTCTAATTCATCGATATTATCAAAGTACAAATAATATGTGTGAAAGCAGGCGTATAGCGTATGCCTGCCATGTCTTTTATGTTATAGAACATAAATAGTTCTATTAATGCGCAATTAACTATTCTATAACGGTTAATTGCTGAACCATGAACTACTCACTTTTCCGATTCAACATATGGTTTGGTTATGAAAACTGAGGGTATATTTGCTATTAGATTCCTGAGCTATCAAGTATCAACAATAGCGTAGACAAGAATTCACTTAAGGTGGGCCCGACTTAGAAATAAAATATATAAAATGAATTTTATTAATTTTTAAATGACTCATGACATTTTTTATAGTTTGCTGAAAAAATTTAGTTTGAAGACGGAGAATTCAATACTAAATTAAAAATGAGCAAACTCATAATTAGCAATTAGAGAAACATTTTTATATAAAATCTAGAATTATTTATATGATACGCAAGGTTAATGTGTTCCGCGGAACTCTTTATGGCTTATTGGTAAATAAGTAAAACCATGAACATGAAGTGGGTAAAATATCTCGGGTGCCACTTAAGTTTGAGAAATGGGGTTGACATACCACTTAAGTTTGAATAGGGCGTCGGGTACCACTAAACTCTATTATATGTGCACCCAGTACGACTTAAGTTTACTGCTAAGTGCATTTCATTAAAGTTGACAGAATATTCTTGGAATATTCCGTTTTCTTAATTTCATAATTGGTCCTTCTACTTTTCTTATTGTAAAAAAATCATTTGGACTTATGAAAAACATCATTTTTTATTGTTTAGTTGGAATCCTATTTTGAATACTTAATACCAAACCAATTTTTGAATAGAAAATTTAGAATCAATATCACTATAATTATTTTCAATTATCATTATAATTATTTTTAATATCATTATGTGTTCTAATAATTTAATTATTCCATGAATGTTGTAAATAAACAATGTTGTAGCTTTTATAGTCATATTTTCTTTTCTATATTTTTTTACCGAATGTAGTAGCTTTTATATTTTATTTATTATTTTGTTACTTTCCATCTCTTTTTGTTCTAATTTTTTCAATTAGTGGAATATGTTTAATTCTTTCTGATTGTGTTCCATTTATCCTTCTTTGATTTTGATATATTGATGATCGATTAGGTTCTATTTTAACTATTTCTAATGGAGCTTCTAATTGAATTAGGGGGTTTAAATAGATATTCTAATATTTATTTTAAATATCTATTATTATATTCTAGTATATTTATTATTCTTCTTGATATTTGTTTATTATTTTTACTAATTTATCCATTTTATTGAAATTTTTTGATTAGTCATTATAGTAACAATATGTTTAGAAGGTTTTCTAATTATTATATTAGATAAAACTTGTTGAAATATAGTTTTGGATTTTTTAAAAGTTTTGGGTATAAAAAAGTAATTAAAAGTTTGGGTTGGATGGAAAAATAGACGGATGCACATTTTGGCAACTTTAATGGTACCCGACGCCCTATTCAAACTTAAGTGGTATGTCTACCCCAATTCTCAAACTTAAGTTGTATCCGAAGTATTTTACCCAACATCACGAAGTACTGGGTCGAGTGTGTTGAATTGCATAAGGGGTCGTTTGGATGGATCATTTAAATGAATTATTTGGGCCAAAAAAATCCGTTTGGCAACTATTTTTTCCGTCGCGTTATTTGAGCCCGCGTTATTTGAGAATAACGCGAAAACGCGTTAAAACAAATAACTGCTTGGTAGGAGTTATTCTGAAATAACGCAGCTTTCGCCTCTTTTTTGCCCCTTTCTGCCCCTTTCCTATCTCCTCTCTCCTTCCTTCTTTCTCTTTGCTACGATTTCATTGATTATTCTATCCAAAGCCAAAATCGATTGATGCAAAATAGATTCTTCTACTACTTTTGGGTTCCTCTTTGCATGGAGATCAGATTGAGTAGGGTGAAGCCTAGGTTGTGGCGGCGAACATAGGCGAGTTAGTAGGCGGCGGCGATTGTAGAGCTTCTTCTGTTCGAGCTTTGTGGTCGTCTCTGCCGGCGGCGACGATTCCTTCTGTGCCGGCGGCGACGATTCCTTCTCTGCCAGCGGTGATGGTAGAGCTTCGTTGGACAGTTAGTCAAGAGACCGCTCAATTTGACAAGGAGAAGCTTCTTGGGTTCTTCTTCGCTGGCTGGATGCTGAAAGACGATGAAGACAAGGAGTAGCTCTAGCGGTTTGGAAAGAGGCTCAATTAGACAGGGAGAAGCTCCAGCAAGGACAGAATGGTGGAAGTTTGGAGAAATTCAGCCGAAATCTGCTTATATGCTGCTGATTTCTTACAACATTATTTGCTTACATGCTGATGGTTTTTGTTTGTTATTTTGGTTCTAATTAGTAATAAATAAACTCTCAATTATATATAACAGAAGGGGTTCCATTATAAACCTCAATTAGGAAACAAAATATACTATCAGCTACACAAGACCACTCTAACCAGCTACAATTAGGAGTTACAAATAGAAGGGCATAATGGTATTTCCTAACTTTTTGTTACAAATACCACATAACAAATAACTCATCTATTTTAGACATCCAAACAAGATAATTGATTCTTTAATTTTCTCAAATACCATACAAATACCATACAACCTAAAAATGAGTTCTTTCAACCTACAAATACCTCATAACCAAAAAACTCATCCAAACGACCTAAATGTATTGTTAGTTTTTGAAGTCCTAGCTAATCCAGAGCCAAGGTGGGTCCGCCATTGACCATCAAGGTTTTCCTATCATGACCGTTGTACTATGGGTTTTCCTAACCTACCCCGCAAATATAAACATTTTCCTAATGGGGCCCTTTTGGCCTTAAAATACTATTAATCTTCTGTTAATAGGGACTCACCTGCTGACTGAACAAATTAATTAGATGTTGACTATGCCAAAAACTTATGTGACCACGCATCATGAGATTGGGCTTTTGCCTAGGGTGAGTTACAAGTTTGGAATTCGGAGGACGATCACGAGGTTAACAAATAGTTTAGAGACGATGATAGGAAAAATCTTATATTCGAGGGGACAAAAGTAGTATCAACTCGTTAAGATTTATAACCAGAAAACAATTCGGTCGATCACACATATATATGTATCGCTAGCAGCAAATCGATCGTGAGCCATGCTGGTTCAATGCTGTTTGAATGTGAACCATACATACACGACGACGACGACGACGTACTTAGCTAGCGACCACAGCCATGGCCGCTTGGGGGAGAAAGACTTCCATGTGCACAAAATTTGGATCCTTTGAGATCATCGTCATCGTCATCGTCGTCTTTATCATGACGCACCGCCTTCCTCTTCTTCTCTGCAGTCTCTTGTTCAGTAGCCTTCCCATCTGCCGCCACCCAATTATTTACAGCGAGTGAGTAAACAGTATATATAATATTACTGATTTGATCGGACCAAGATATAGCTGAATATAATAGATGTACTTACTAGTACTGCCAGCCGGTGTGGCGAGATGTTGATGATATGATGGAACCCCACGTACAGCCATGCACGTCTTGGAAGAAAATAGAGCAGCAACCAACAAAACCAAGCTAATCATCATCATGCAACGTCGTACCCCAACCATTCTTCTACTTTGGCCAGCTGCCATTGTTTTACTACTCGCCATGTACGTACTATTACTGAAACAAGCTCCCTATATGAGTATATGTGGTTTGTGATTCTAATTTATAAGTCATTACAACTGCTGCTATATATATATATATATATATTATATGCTGCTTTACCTAATTTCCTGAGCTAGCTAGCACCTTATTTCCACGCACATGTATGTGCAGTTACGGAGAACCTTCATTGTGCTTCATCTTGACTATCCACAGGCTCTGAGATCGATCTCCTCTCTTTCTTTGGTGACTTCTGTCAACGGCATGCGCCCGGACTCCTCAACAAAGCTAAAGTGGCCACTAGCCTTATATATTTTATTGTTTAATTCCCACCAAAGAAATAATGAATTTTGTTAAGTTAAAGTTGCGTTGTTTGTCAAAAGATCATCAAGTAATGTTTGCTTTTTGAAAATCAAGCTTCTCTGAATGTATGCATGCAGGTCCCAACTGGTGAAGCTATATGTACATAGGGTATACAATTTTGTTCTCACTTCAACAAATTGTATAAACTGGTAGGACCAGCGCAGGGGTGTCAAATCGGTTTCGGGTTAACCCGAAACCAAACCGGTAAGAGTCCTGTCGGGTTCGGTTACCCAAAATGTGTGATGTGTCGGGTTCGGTTTCCCTGAAACCCGATAAGGACCCGAAATAACCCGAAGGGGTGGTTTCGCCTCCCGCGACCTACTCTGCCATTTCGTCACCGGCGAAATCATCGCTCGTTTTTAGATTAAAGCTTTCCCCGAAAATCCGAATCTGTACCAGCGAGGGCCATTTCCTGGGCCAGAGAGGCGATCGACAGGATCATGGAGAGGGTAGCTGCCATCGAGAAGTTTACTTGGGCCATTTGGTTGATTGGTTTTGAGAAAATAAATGGAACAGAGATGGAGGTTTGAGAGGAAGGGTTTTGGGGTTGGAGAGTGGAGATGAAACAACAGAGCAACCAAGAGCTTTGAATGGTGGGTTGGGCTCGATAGGAAGAAAAATAATCTCCCCAAAGATGGAGGTCCTTTTGCAAGTTGAAAGCCGACCTAGAGCCCTCCGATTATGAAGACAAAGAAAGGCAGATCTGAAATCGTGGTCTCTACCCTGCCATCCCTTATGAAAAGGAGCTCGAGTGAATGTGAAGGAGCTCCTACCTTAGTTGCTGATCTCAAGGAAGAAGAATCAGAGTTGCCCTGCAGTCGAAGAAGTGCAGCAGAACAAGAAGAAGATTACGACGTCGTGCAGAAGGGCAAGAGGAAAGAAGAGAAGCAACGCACCGTTTTGGACTGAGTCGTTGGTTTCAAGTTTTACTGTTTAATTAGCCACTTGTACAACATTCATTGGTTAGTTAGAAAGTTAGTTTAACGGCTAGTGCACAGTTAGTGTAAATGGTAGATTAGCAAACTGTATATATACTGCTATCTATGGAAAAGCTCAGTGTGAGCGATTTTCCCCAATTTGTTTCTCTAGCAAATTCATCAAAATCCCTAAATCTTCTCACCTTAGCCGGTGAAATTATCCCTTCATTCGAGATTGAAGCTTTTCCCTGTTGGCACATCTGGTTATGCAACCTTTAGTCGGTGAAATCATCCTTCCATTCATCGCCTGCAACAGCAGCAACACGGCGATGCTAAACCTCACAGTTACTACAGCCAACAACTTGAGCAGGTAATTTTTCGATCCTTTGACCATAATCGACAGTAGAGCCGAACAGAGCACAAAGCTCAGAGCTCCCTCGGCGATTGCCTAGATGAAGAGATCCACTTTCAGCGATGACCCACTGAGTGCATGCCTGAATTTGGCAGGGAGGAATTTTCCAATTGCTTTGGCGGCGACTACCCCGTCGGCGACCTGAACAGGGAACCAGGCAACAATAGAGAAGATAGAGGCATCCGATTTGAGGTCGGTGGCCTAGAGGGAGACGGTGGTGGTTGGGTTCAAGCTGGCATCGTCGATGAGGGATTCGATTGTGGTGAAGGAGAGGACGAAGGAAGGGGACGGAGAAGACACATATCGAGGTAAAGATTTCATCCCTGATGGCTGAAAGATTTCTGTGTGTTTGTATGAAAATGGAGAAATAAAGTTGCTACCTGCCACCTGGTCAGCGAAGCTCCACTGGCAATACAATAGCAAAATTTTCGGGTTTTCGGGTTTCATCTAAGCAACCGAAACCATTAGTGACTTTTTCCCGATTTTAGGTAACCGAAAACCGATAGTGCCATTTTCAGGTTCGGTTTCGGGTTTTCTATGAGGAAGTTTCGGGTTTGGTTAACCGAACCGACAGGCCTAGACCAGCGTGTATATATGTACGAGTCTAATTCAATATTCTCTTATAAGTATTCGGCAAATTTATGAGAGTGATACCATTCCTCCTCGAGTGTGGGTTGGAGACTAAGGCCCATCATCTGCATTCTCGAGTTTACAATCAACTCGTCCTCTATAATGCCTACACATATACTCATGTGAAACTACCATAAGCGGCATAAAAAGAATACAAAAATTCTTAGACGCCACCAAATGCATAAAGGAACAATTCGAAGTGAATTCGACGTAGAACCCATATTAAAATGACTAAAGATGCATCGAAACAGAAGAAATGATGCTAAGAAAGGTTATGCCAAATATTAGGCCCCGTTTAGTATAATTTTATTGTTGTTGTGATTGCAGTGGTGTTGTGTAAACAAATGTGCAACTACAACAGGAAAAAAATAGAAAGCACAAATTAACTTGTTTAGTTGATAAATCTGAAAAATTATGAAAACTGACAACAAAAAACAAAAACGCGTTTAGTTACTACATAGCTGACGTGTTGTTGTATAGCTGACCCTGAACTCAGTGAGTGATAGCTCACCCCCAAAATTCGAACCTTCTTCATGTTCATAATTTTCATATAGGTAAATATAATATATTAGCCACAACTATTTTGAAGCGGGGAATTATAGCCACAACTATGAAAATTCAAATTGTTAGCCAAACGTAACTCTCTGTTAACAATTCCGTTAATAATGCTTACTGAACTTTTATGTTTTAAAGTTATAAATTAAAAGCAGTCCGACGTGATTGTTGCCGGTGTCGATGACGTGACCTTCTTTAAAAATTCAATAATAGTAACAGACAGTTAGCCATATCTTGACCCGTAATTATAATTATGGCTAATAATTTGAATTTACATAGTTGTGGCTATAATTCGCCGCTTCATAATAGTTGTGTCTAATATATTGTATTTACCCTTTTCATATTCATGAAATAGTCTATATCTTATTATTAATTGATGGAAATTGGGGAATTGGACCCTTTGGTGTGAACGAAAATCCTAATCCATGAGTGTTCTAGTGTTTAGGTGGATTGCGATGGGAAATTTGTGCTTATACAATGTGCGAAGGCAATGGGAGTGCAGATATACGTGTTCTATTCAATCCACAATTGTGACAAGCATCCCGAGGTTCCATTAATGGAGATCAAGTATTGCACAGAGAAGTTCCTCAAGGATTCTGGATTGCCTCACATCACCATACAATTGTGTGGGTTCATGCAAGTAAGATGGACGACGTTCGTAGCGCTGAGGAATGAGCAGATCATTGGGAAGCTCCTGACTTTTGCCGGTCCTCTAGCTTGGAAGACTCAGGAGGTAAACAAGAAGGCGACGGGCGTCGAGGGATACAGAGGATTGGAAGAGGTAGCTGACGGGAGAGGGACGAGTGGAGAGGAAGAAGTGGTCGTCGAGGGAGAGGGTCGGCGACAAGGGAGTGGCGGTGCGAGGCTAGGCGACGAGAAGGGAGCGGTCATCGACCTTCCTATTGAGAGGAAGAAGTTGAGAGAGGGAGCTGAGGGAGTAGCTGTGCGGCGAATCCCGTGTACGTGAAACATGTTTAGAAATCAAATGAAAAGGAATAAATTGTTGTTTCTCTGATTTGGGCCTGGTTGTGTGAATCTGATTCACAACAGAAAATAGAAACCCAACTAAACATTTTTTTCTCCTCGGTTTTTCCAATTCTTAATAACACAACCGAAAACAAAAATAGGCAACAATACTAAACGGGGCCTTACGTTTCAAGTGCAATTAAATTATCGCACAATCTAGTCTTTTCTTTTCCTTAAGCAAAAAAAGAAAAGGGTATACCAATTCTATAAACGGGTAGGTCCAGCGTGTATGCACGAGGCTACTTAATTTTGCTTGTATAGGTACTATAAGGCAAATTAATGAGAGATAGAGGTGACAAATTGATTGCACCCATGGATTGGTGGACTGGATCTATGGATCAAGTGGATTTGATCAATTGGATTCATGGTTTGAATCATATGAATTGGTGGATTGATACATGAATCCAAATGACATACATGGATTCAATGTAGAAGTAATACTAAAATGACTAAAGATGCATCAAAACAGAGTAAATGCTGCTAAGAAAGGGTGTGACAAATACTAAATTTCAAGAGCAGCTAAATAACCGGACACTGGACACTTGAGCTTTTTCTTGCCCCAGGAAAAAAACTATTCAAGATTGTGCAGGTCTTTAGACACTAACGATGACACTTGACTTCGATATTCAGCAGTGGTTTACTAGCAACTTACGAGGCAACAATTAATAGAACATGATTACTTGACCAGATCAGTAGGTTAGGAATGTCGTATTGGATATATGGCCTCTTCGTACAACTATGAATGGCCAAGTGTGCATGAAAAGACTAAAACAACACAAGTAGGGTGATTGGTTTTGTTTATTTTTGGTTATTTTTGAATTCATCAACCACCTTTTTACAATAATGAAGATGGATTAACAACGCTCTGCCAACGGGAAGCAACATTATGAAGAAAATACAGAAGAGATGAAGTTATTGGGTGCAATTGGTTCTTGACATGGTATCAGAGTTGGTTTGTCCTTGAGGTCACGTGTTCAACTCCTCACGACCCCCAATATTAACCGTTGTCTTTCAAGCACATAGTAGGGTTGAGCATGTGCAAACTTCAAGCCCATGAGTCGGCTTTCGTTTGAGGGGGCGTGTAAGGAAGTGGTTAAGTACCATACATGGGCCTG